ACCTTTTTGGGCTCCTGTGCCCAAAACTGCATGCATGTAGGGCCGCCCATGCGCATGTGTGAACGATATCTCCCGCCACCCCCTTACCTGCACTGTACATCGTGCGTCTCCCAGTTTTCAGCCTCCTAGAGGCTCGAGGGAAGCCCCTGCAGCCTTTGGAGGCCGAAAAATGGGCCAGTTTTGTCACTTCCGGTATTTCCGGAAAAACAGGAAGTGACTAAACGGGCCCGTTTTTCGGCCTCCAAAGGCTGCAGAGGCTTCTCTCGAGCCTCTGGGAGGCCGAAAATCAACTGGGAGGTACATGCCTGTGCAGTGCAGGTAAGTTTGCCTGGGGCTCGCGTGCCCACACAAATGGCTCTGCGTGCCACCTGTGGCACACATGCCATAGGTTCGCCATCATGGCCCTAGAGCAAGACTCATGCCCCTGTGCATTGACTAGACTACTGCAATTCATTTTATACTGCACTACCCTTGGAGACCACCGAGAACCTTCGGCTGGAACAACCGGTAGCTGCCCAGGTGCTAACAGGACATCCCTGACAGCAGCGCCAGCCTGCTTCTGGGTGCAGGAAGGGCGTGGATGATGGCTAGGAACCAACCAGATAGTATCTGGCCAGCTACCCAAGGCCCAAGGGCCCCCACTTCCTGCCAGGGACAGAAAGAAAGGACTCCAAAGTGGGCCTCTCTTCCTGAATTCAGCCCCTTTGGGAGAGGCTTTTTCCACAGTTTAAGGTGGGCCTGCAGAGATATGGCTGCTTTTGCAAGATTTGGGGTGGAAGACGGAAGCCTCTCGCCCCTTGAATATAGATTTACTCTTATTATTGCACTGAAATGGTGTGCTGGCTTTTTTCCTGTGTTCCTTTCTTGTCCGTCAGAGTGATTGGCGTTGCTGTTGTGCTGCTTACTGCATTTCATCGTCAGAAGCGGCAGCAAAAGGCCCCTGACTCGCTTAGTGAATAAATCCTGACAGGCCACTTCAAAATTTGCCAGTGTGACCGCAGGTTGGCATTTAGGGCACCAGAACGTTTTTCCTGCAATGGGCATCAGGTGGGAGAAGGGGGCAAATCAAGTTCTGAGTTGGGCGTTTCTCCTCCTGTGAGGCAGACGTGGCCTTGGGGGCATGGCTGGGCCCCCACCTGGCCCATAGAGTGGAGGCCAAGGCAGGGAGAAGCGGGAAGGAGATCCTTCAGGATGTTGCCACCCAGAAGGGCCATCTCAAGAGGACTAGCCTCTCTGTGGCTTTCATTGCAGGTTCTTGGCCAAGGCGGTGGCGAGAGTCCCTCTGCCCTCCGTCAGCTCAGCCGTGGTCTGTCTGCCCTGCTGGTGGGCTCCCAGGAAGAGCCGACAGGAGGGACAGGACTAGATCAAGGGCTACCTGGGGCTGATCTAGGAGAGATCTGAGGTGCTCTCTGATCTTAGATGTTTTCTTGCAGCTGTTTCATGACCCAAACTAGGTAACATCATCAGTGCTAGAAGGGAGTGGGGTTTGTGGAAAGGAGGAGGAAACGACTACGGGGTCCTTGGTGCTCTGAGCTTAGCTGTTTTTTTTTGCCAGAGTTTCATTAGCCAACCTACAAATATCCTACATACATTATCCTTCCTTGGCAGGAGACATCTGAACACTATACACCAGGGCTCTGCAACCCTTGGCAACTTTAAGACTTGTGGACTTCAACTCCCAGAATTCCTCAGGCAGCTTTGCTGGCTGAGGAACTTTGGGAGTTGAAGTCCACAAATCTTAAAAGTTATCAAGGTTGCAGACCCCTGCTATAGATAGCTCCCTCGAGATACAGAGGCGGGGCAGCATATACATTTAATAAATAAACAAATAAAATATAATAAAGGTGTCCTATAAAATACCAACAGGTGGCTCAGTGGCTAAGACACCCAGCCTGTCGATCAGAAAGGTCGGCAGTTTGAATCCCCAGTGCCGCGTAATGGTGTGAGCTCCCGTTCCTTGTCCCAGCTTCTGCCAACCTAGCAGTTCGAAAGCACGTAAAACATGCAAGTAGAAAAATAGGGACCCTTTTGGTGGGAAGGTAACAGCGTTCCATGCGCCTTATCGGCGTTTAGTCATGGCGGCCACATGACCACGGAGACGTCTTCAGACATTCCTGGCTCTTCTTCGGCTTTGTAACGGAGATGAGCAGTGCCCCCCAGAGCCGGAAACGACTAGCACGTACGAGCGAGAGGAACCTTTGTGAAATAATACCAAGCCACAGATCCAGGCGAGCCGTTTTAGCTGTGCTTTTATTCTAGAGTTTAGAAGTGTTACATAAAGTGTCATGATCAATAAATCTACCGAGGAAGTTAAAAAAAGACCCTCTGGGCATTTCACAGTCCGCTCACCCAGACAGAGGTAACTGTGCTCAGAGAGTGAGGTTGTTGGAAGACAAACGATGGCGAAACCCACCCTCCCCCCCCGCCCTCGGTCACCACTGGATGACCATTCGGGGGCTCAGGCGAGCCATAAGGTGCATTGAGATCAGTGCGGGGGTGGGTGAGTGGAAGGGCAGGGCAGGCCCAGCTGTGGTTCCCTGCCAAAGACAGCTGAGCCATTGGCCGTGCCCAGCCAGGACAGAGCCTGCCCTCGGCAGCTCTGCAGCCCACCGAGTGGGATTTCCCGATACAAAACTTGGCAACGTTTTTCAGGGGCTGAGCAACTGCCCAGCTGCTCCATCCCCCCCCCCCCCAACAGTTAAATGCATTGGTGTGCCACACACCCCACAGAAATTAGGCTAATGATTTCACTGGGGTCAGAGTTGCAAGATACGAAAAGAACATAATTACATTTTAATTCCTGTATTCCAGTTCTTAAACTGCAGAAGCAGAACCGCCTGCAGCTTCAGGGGTGGGGGTGAGGGTGGCTAAGTGGCAACACAGCCTTAAGTTTTGACACACACACACACAGCACACATGATTTTCCTAGAGCAGGGGTCCCCAAACTTGGCAACTTTTTAAGACTTGTGGAATTCTGGGAGTTGAAGCCCACAAGTCTTCGAAGTTGCCAAGTTTGGAGACCCACTGAAGATCCCTGATTTAACCCGGATGAGACCGTTCTCCGCAGAAGTCAGGAGGGAGGTGAATTGCTTGGACCTCTGGCCATGCGGATTCTTCAACCAACTGCACCCGCGTGGCCATTCTGTGGCCAACCATCCCTTCCTTAGCTGCTGGGCCTCGCAACTCCTGCAATGGGTCTCCCCTCTAGCTGCTCTCTGGGCCCAGCCTCTTTGCCAAGGGATTGACCGGCTGTGGAGCATGGGCCACACAGGGGCCATTGGCCGAGGCAGGTGTTGCAGCTTTGAGGGAGGGGGGACACGTGGACGGCCCTCTCCCCTCCCAAGGCAGTCAAGAAGGGGCAGGAGTGGGAGGGTTGCACACCCCCCTGGCCTCACAGGGCCCTGCTTAAAGGACTATCTCCCCTAGACCCTCTTCTCCCCATAGAGAAGCCAATTCCGGTAGGCGGGATCTTGGAGGTGGTTTTGGACGGACGGCCCCACTTTCTTCTGCCTTGAAGCGGGGAGGCGGGGCAGCCTTGGCTCCCTCTTTCTGCTTCATCGCAGCCCTCATTATTCCTTAATTAACATACCCAACAAATCAATTAACTACTCAGTTCCTAATTAAAAGCTACAAGAGAGGATCCTCTCATTATTATTATTATTAGCTGCTGAGGTGAGCATCAAGCCAGCTTGCCAGCCTCGCCCCAATTACGCCGAGCGAGGGACGCGGGGTCCGACGCGGCTCCTTTTGTACTTTCTTCGGAGCGGCGGCAAAATTAATTAGCCGGCGGGTTGCGGGTGCTGGTATGCCCCCCCCCCCTCTACTCTGCTACCGGCTGGGGTGGAGAGACAGAAGCCCCTCAGCCAGGCAGCGCCAAGACCCAACCAGGCGCCCTCCTGGGAAAAGGATGGGGGTCGGCAGGTGGGCACTTTGGAGTGAGGGACGGTTCACTTTTGCCGGGCTAAAAAAACATCCTTGGAATCTTGTTTTTTTTGGAGGGGGGGGAGTTTAAAATAATCCGCTGGGATCAAGGTGGAGCCCCTCCCTCTGGGTGAGCGAAAGCCCCCCCGACGGGCATGGATTTCTTGACCCAAACATACCCTTGGGCAGAGGGGGGGGAGGCTTGCACCCACCGCCACCCCCACCCCCCGGGCATTTCCTGCTTCAGCCCCAGCTGGGAGATTAAGGTGCAGAGTCTGAGCGCCCAGGGTACTCCTTTGGGGGGGTGGAAGGGGGGTGGAAGGGGGGTGGCTCCTCGGAGGAGCTTCCTTTTGGGGCAAGTTTGAAGAGGCCTTGGCTGTGCCCCACTGCCCCCAATACTTTGGGAAGACACAAACCAATTTCACCCAGCCCCAGACTTAGGGGACTAACCGGGCAGGGGGTCCAAGGGGGCACGAAGAGGGTCTGGGGGAGGCAAGGTCTGCTTTTGGGCAGAGGCACCGTCTCAGCCCCTCCCCCTCCACAAGGCACAAGGGCTGCGTTCACATGTTTAGGGTTGGGCCTGAAATTTAATCTCATTACCTGAGTTTCCACAACACGCACCCAAAACAACAGGAAGGAAGGTGAGGAAGCGTAATGAATGCTGCAAAGAGACTCGCTCAGCTCAGCCCCTGGCTCTGCCAGTCATCGGATGAAGCCTGCTGTCAGCTAAACTGGCACTTCCTCCTGTGGCACTACTTGGCTGTGAAAGTCTGTCTTCCTGTCTTTCTCTGCCTTTTCTTTCTTTTCCTTTCCCTTTCTTTCTTTCTTTTCCTTTCTTTTTTCTTTCTTTCTTTTCCTTTCTTTTCTTTCTCTTCCTTTTCTTTCTTTTCCTTTCCTTTCCCTTTCTTTCTCTTTTCTTTCTTTTCCTTTTCCTTTCCTGTCTTTTGTTCTTTTCCTTTCTTTTCCTTTCCCTTTCTTTCTTTCTTTCTTTCTTTCTTTCTTTCTTTCTTTCTTTCTTTCTTTCTTTCTTTCTTTCTTTCTTTCTGTCTGTCTGTCTTTCTTTCTTTCTTTCTTTCTTTGTCTTTCTTTCTTTTCCTTTCTTTCCTTTCTCTTCCTTTTCTTTCTTTCCTAATCTACCAACCTACAGCCTTTGGCAGTGGGTCTCAGACACCAATGTGCCACATCCAGCTCCCACGAAGGCAGGAAGTGCTGGCCAGTCCTGTGAGAATTAAAACAGCAGGCAAAGCTCGGCCCGCCCCCCCACCTCCAAAAGAAGGGGTCGATCAGAGAAACCCCCTCTCCGAAGGGCTCCCAGAGCTGCAACCAGCACTGCCTGTGGAGAACCTGCAGGAGCCATAATACGCAGGGGGAGGGGGGGGCTGGGGGCTTTCAGGAGGGAGCCAGAGAAAGTATTTCAGGGGTTGGGTGAGTGTGTGAGCAGGCTGCCTATTTTCAGTGGGCTAGAACCAGCCTCTTTGAGGCCCCCAACCTCTAAGGCTCTAGGGCTGATCGCTGCTGCTGCCCCATATCCTGCACCCCCCCGCCCAGTATGGCTGCCTCCCCACCCCCTTATGTCCCTACCCCAAGACCCTCCCGGGGGTGGGGTGTGTGGAATGCAGTGGGAAGGGAAGAGCCCTGTCCTGGCCTCCGTCCCACAGCTGGCCCCATAAAAAGAGGCCCTCCTCTGCCCTGGGTTTGAAGGGCCCATGGGAAGGGCCACTGCAGGGAGGTTCCCTCCCTCCATGGGAGTCTGCAAGCCAAAAAAAACCCCCTGCCCTCACAGCACAGAAAGGAAGACCCCAGCTGCCCCTCCAAGAGCTCCTGGGTTCAATGCCCCACCTCCTGAGGGCAGCAGGAGGCGGCTCTGCTCAGGAAAAAGGGAAAGGGGTCCTGGGGGCTGCGCGGAGGAGCAAGGAAGCCCTGAGAAGGGCTTACGATCAAAAGTGACCCTCACAGCTCCAGCCAGGACTGAAAAGCCGCCTACTCAAGAGTTGGAGCTTGGCCCTCCGGCCTGAAAGGAGGAGCAGGGCGGTCCCCCTCCCCATAGTTCTGCAGTTGCTCCCCCCCTCCCCAAATTATCTGGGACTGCACCTCCCTGCTCGGCCATGGGTGCCTGGGATCCTGAAAGCTGCACCCCCAAACATCTGGGCATCTGAGGGGTGGGTTGCCAGGCTGGCCTGAAGCTCAGCAGAGCCAGAGGAAGTCAGACTTTCCAACAGCCCCCTCCCCCCTTCACCAACAGTTCCTGCCTCCTTCCTTCCCCCCCCACCCCCTTCTTCTCTTTGTGCTGTTACTGTCGCTAATTGAGAACTTTAAATATTAATCTTTTCGACCAACGTGAGATACCGGGTCTCGGGAAAGTGCTAATTTACACTCCGTTCTTGACGGAGGGAAGATGTTACAAGCCACAGCTTTGCCGTCTTCTCCTTCCTATTGTATTCCACCCCCTCCCCACCAGCCCCCCTCCTCCCTTCACGCCTCTCTGTGCCTCCGCTGCCGCCGCCGCCGCCGCTGCTGCTGCCGCCGCTGCCACCGTCTTGGGTGCTGAGGGCTGGGCTGGCTTCAGCTTTACAGCCCTTTGTTGTAGGTGACGGTCAGGCTGGAGGTGGCCTGAGCGATGTCTGGCTCCAAGCGGGCGGTCTCGATCTGCCGAGAAGAAGAAGGCAGGAAAATTGGGTCAGAAGAAGGCCCCTGGATGGGGCATGAAAGCTGCCAGGGGGCAGAGAGGCTAAGAGGTACCACGCCCAGACCTCTTGAATCTCCTTTGCTCACCCAGGTTGTCAACTCATGAATATTTTAGAGTTTTCAGCAGAAAGGGAGTGGAGGAAGTAGTGCATTCCTTCAATCCATGATGGTGAACTTATGGCACGTGTACCACAGGTGGCACGCAGAGCCATCTGTTCCGGCATGCAGGCTGCAGGCAAACTTACCTCACTGCACATGTGCGTGCCTCACAGCTGATTTTTGACTGGTTTGAGGCCTTTTTCGGCCTCCCAGAGGTTTCAGGCTGAAAACCAGCCTCGTTTCGTCACTTTCTGTTTTCCGGAAATACTGTAAGTGACGAAACAGGCCTAATTTTTGTCCTGCAAAGCCTGCAGAAGCCTTCCTCAAGCCTCTGGGAGGCCGAAAAAGGCCTCAAACCGGCTGAAAATCAGCTGTGAGGTGCAGTGCTGGTAAGGGGGCTGCAGGGGGTGTGAACATGCATGTGTAGGGAGCGTGGAAGGATGTGCATTGCCTTCTGGGTGCTGGCACGCGAGCATGAGCGTGCACACACAAAATTTTTGGCACAGGAGCCCAAAAAGGTTAGCCACCACTGCCTTAAATGCTTATAGATAATTTCTAGGCAACTGAAGCTTCTGGCGCACAAGATTATTACTGGAGAGCATGATTGGTGACTCTTGGCTATGGATATGTCCCATTGGAGAATATGCATCCAGGGGGTAGGGGGAAGACCAGGGTCAAGGGTGAAATGAATGATGTGTCTCAGAGTCGGCTACACCCAGGTAGCACCAGCATGGTCACGCCTAATAAATCTTCTTTAAACTCTGAGAGATGCGGCTAAAGATTCACGATTTAAATGGCGGTGGATGCCGGAGCCCTGGCACAGGTTGGTTTTGAGAGGCTACTTGGAGCAGCCGAGGCCCGACAGCAGGGGTGTGATTCAACCGGTATAACAACCGGGTCGGTGTATGCGCACGCAAGCATCGAACACTCCTCTGTGCACACGCTCCGTGTTTAAAAAAGCCCCCACCTGCTCGTAGGAGCGAACTAGTTTGGACCCAGCTGATTGTTGGAATAAGGGGTTCACCCGGACCTGTCTGGACCAGGAGAATCCCACCCCTGCCCATGGACCCCGAAGGCAACTAGGTGCCTTTCGGTGCCAGGTATCCCACCTCAGGCAAGTAACCTAAGCCAGAGGTTTTCTCCTCGCTATCAAAACCAAACAGGTTTCTCTTTTCAACAGATGCTCCTTTTCAGGGGGACAAGGTGGTTTTAGAAGGCTCAGCGGCCTCCTCTTGAAAAGCTCACCGTAATTCTACCGGCTCTTGCGAGGCCCTGGGCATGTCGGGGATTTTGTTATCATCTCTGGAGCGTTGGCACCATCACGGGATGCTTTTGGGCCCGGAGGGTTGTAAGGCACCCAGCAACTGGCCCCAGACCCAGCCCCTCCTGGGGAGGGGGGTGGGCAGGTCAGAAGTGGTATTCAGCCAGTTCTGACCAGTCCTGGAGAAGCGGTAGTGGAAATTTTGAGTAGTTTGGAGAACTGGCAAATCCTACCTCTGACTGGCCCCGCCAACCCCATCTATTCTCTGCCTCCCGAGTCCCAGATGATTGGCTGGGTCTTCTTTGGTTGCCCTACATAGGTGAACGGAGCTGGAAAGCAGGTTAGGGGGGAGGGAAGGGGGATTTTGCAGCATCCTTCACCTGCCACGCCCACCAAGGCACACCACGCCCACAGACCCGGTAGTAAAAAAAAAATTGAATCCCACCACTGGGCCAGGTGCAGGGGACTTGGATTTGGAGCCTCCTTCCCCAGGAAGATGGGAGGGGTGTGTGTGAGAGGCTGTGGGTGTGCAGACACATGACAGGAGCACAGCTACCCATCATCCCCTGCCAGCATAAGTGGAGCCCGAGCAACCAACCCATTCGTGTCATCAAAGGAAGGAGCAAAGCTGCTCTAATTAGCAACAACAAAAGCACTTGGACTTATATCCTGCTTCGTAGTGCTTTGCGGCTCTATCGGAGCGGTTTGAGCGATAATAGATTTCAATTCATTACTTACACACACACACGCACACACACACACACACACACCAAAGTTATACTAATGACATGGGTGGAATCTGTTAGCACACCAACAGAGAGTTCTGCAGGAACCCCCGTGGGTTTTCATCGTGGCCCAAGCCCTGCCCCGTCCGTGGCCTTCTTGAGCGCCACACACACACGGTCTTGCCAGGCGCGGGGAATCACCAGTTCAGCACACACTCACACTCACACACCACGCGCACAATCTTGGTGGCTGCCTGTCTCTTAGGGGGACAGGTGGGAAACAGAGAAAGTGGGAAGAATCATCTGGAAGCATCTCAACAGCACAGCTGCGACACCGAGCCCAGAGGAAGTGCCGGCAGAAGCCAACATTCGGAGTTGGGAGGCTGAAAGCGAAAGGGGGAGGTGGGAGGGAGATAGGGGGGTCCCCCTGGTGCTTTGACTGAGGGTAAGAGGCCCGGGGTGCAGAGACCGGCCCCTCCCGGTGGTCTACAAGCCACGATTGCGCCCCAAAGGACCTGCTGCTGTGTCCAGTCTAGACTCCCAGGAGAGGCTGGGGTCCAAGGAGGCCCCCCCCTCTTTCTCCTGGAATGGAAGGCCACATAACCCCCCCTCTGGGGCCACCCCATCCTAAACAAGATCATCCTTTTACCCTTACAGAGTCTGCACCAGGCAGAAACCTGTCCGCTCAGTGCCGCAGTATGTATGTTGTTCACGCCACAACATCCCACGCTGGACGCTCCTTGCAAGATGCCTCAATGCTGCCTCTAAGCGGAGGCAATGGCAGGTGCTGCCTCTCTGCTCCCCACACCAAGGGGGGGCTTGGCTTCCCTCTGGGATGTCCTTCCCTCGTTTGAAAGGTCTTCCCGGCATCCCCAAATGTCCCACGCCTCCATCACGGGAAGCACCTGTGCTCCATTTCAGTCGGCCAGAGGACCCAAGACCAGAGGTGGTGTTCAGCAGGTTCTGACCAGGTTCTGGAGAACCGGTAGCTGAAATCCTGAATTCAGAAAACGGGCAAATCGCACCTCTGACTGGGGAGATTTTACAGTCTCCTTCCCCAGCCAGGCCCGCCAAGCCACGCCCACGGAACCGGTAGGAAGAAAATTCGAATCCCACCACTGTCCAAGACCCCCCCGGTGGATACAACAAAATGGGTTTGCAAGGCTTAAGGAAGTGGAACGTCTCTTTTCATCTCCCCACGCCCCCTTCCAGCCCCCCTTGGCTTTTCTAAACTCTGAAGACATAGCGGCCCCAGTGGTGGGATTCAATTATTTTACTACCGGTTCTGTGGGCGTGGCTTGGCTTGGTGGGCATGGCTTGGTGGGTGTGGCTTGGTGGGCATGGCAGGGGAAGGATACTGTAAAATCCCCCTTCCCTCCCCACCCCCACTAACCTGCTTTCCAGCTCCGTTCTCCTGCGCAAGGCAACAAAAGACTACGCTGGGACTCAACGGGAAGCAGAGAAGAGATGGGGTTAGCAGGGCCAGTCAGAGGCGGGATTTGCCAGTTCTCCGAACAACTCCAAATTTCCGCTACCAGTTCTCCAGAACTGGTCAGAACCTGCTGAATCCCACCTCTGAGTGGCCCCCAAAGGGCTGAGAGAACCCATTTCTTGGAGAAGTCCGAATGATGCCCTCCCCTGCCAGTCGGTTCTGTTGGCTTTGGATACAGGTGGCTTTATGATTCCTGCAAGATGAGTGACTGTGACAGTTGAGGAAGGAAATAAAATAAATACTGCCCTCCAGTACTGAAATCCTGTTTTGATCCTGCAGTCTCTGGAGCCTCCCAAGGGAAGGTCAGACCCCTGGAAGGGGTGTAAGGGGCCAGGTCTTTCCTTCAGAGCCTCAGCCACCCAAAGCAGGTGCAGCCACCCCAAATGCTCCTTTTAAAATTATTATTTTTATAATCTTCAAAACGCTATCTACGGGAGGCAGTGCCAAAGGCTGACACAACAACGCTAGGAACCTACATGGAAAACCTAAAAGCTTTTGAAAATGTTTAACCTAGTTAGACAAATTAGCAAAAAATTGTGCAAAACAATTTAGGTATTTAAAATATTCAATGTTTTTAAAAACTGGAAAAACTGTTCTTAGCTTTCAGCTGCAGAAACCCAACAAAATATAACATCCAAGAAATCTTAACATGAGGTGCAACATAACCCTTCACCAAAGCTGTTAAACAGTTCCTGATGCATCCTGGGAAATAGCACTTCATTTATTCAAATGCACATATGTCAGGTTTTGGCACCATATGTCATTCCAAGCTATTTACAGTAATAATTAAATCTTAATCAACGTTTAACCTCTGTAAAATGTTTGAAGGGATCTAATCACCCTTCAGTCTGCACTAATGAAGCAGAAATATATAAACATAAAAAGAAAATGATATACACCAGAAAGAAGAAGTAATTGCAAAATTGTATTTCTTTTAAATATCATCAGCAAAGTTATGTAAAGGAAGCCGGCGGGTATTTTAAGTGAAGACATCTTGGGTGTCAGAGGTGTGAGTAGCTAATTTTGTACTGCTATCCATAGCAGATGTAGCATATTTTCTCTTAGAGACATTATTAGCAACTTCACCATTTCTTTTCTTATTTAAACACAAAGCAGAAAGCGGAAAGGGAGACGGCGGAGGCCTCTTACGAGGGGAGGGTGGGACCGGCTGACGTGGAGGAGGGCCACTGCGCCAGCCGCTGGAAAGTGTGGGCCCACTGAGCCCCTTTGTTGGACCCGCCAAGCCCAGTTCCCTCTTGGCAAAGCCATGGAGGCCACCTCCAGCTTGGCACCACCTTGGCCTGTGCACTTCCGAGGGGCCGGCCAGGTTGAGACCGGGCAGCAGCTGCGCCCAGCACCCGTGGACATTGGCTCATACCACAAA